GCCAGTTATCACGTTAAACCTTTAACAATTTATTTTTTAACTTTCTAAAAATAAATTTTGCGACCTCAAAATTTGAACTTTAGTAACGCCCATAGTCGTACGCGCTGCGACACGCGCGCACGTCAGTTTAGCAATGTAACACGCGTATACCGCGTTGTTCTAGCGTATCGCCGATTTCGTTGTTCGTAAATCGAACGAACCCGAGCCGATATTTCTCCGGTAAGAGCGAACGTTTTGATGAATATATGTTCCATGTTTGAACCCTGCAAATTGCTCTTATCGATGCAATACCATCTTGATTGCCAAGCCGAAACGTTTTCGCTGGTGTTTTTCATTTTATCACCTGTACTCGGTGGTCCATCGGGTTTCATATCGATTGTAATTGGTAAAAATTATTCAAATAAAAACGTATTTGTCTCCGTACCCGGTGTATTAACAATGAACAATCCACTTCTAGAAGTTCTTCAAGAAGCGAAGTAACCGTTACTGTTCTACAATGAAAAACGATCGAATTAACATCTCCAAGTAGAATACATCGCAGTGTCGTAATTACGAGTATTTCGAACAGATTCATCATAATATAAGAGATGATTTGACACAAGACGGTTTGACCAAGATAATAAGGTGTTGGTATTGTGACTCTTAATGGTATCATATTACGGTAGTGATTTAAATGACATAGGGGACATTTCAAAGACAATATGAACCTTCAAATTTAATGAATGGTTTACACACAACAGTGTAATTATTGGAAACTATAGTAAACTATCGCGAATGATCGTATGTAACACCGTAATGTTATCTCGAGACTTATACGTGGAATCTCGAAATCTTACAATTATCCGTAGAATATAATGTGAAATTATAGAAATATCACCGTTAGTAGAAAATTGATCTGAATTGATACGAAACAATGGTAAAAATTGTTTAGAACATGATTAGAATATAGAAAAATAAGTAGATTGGAGAAATATTAGAAAAGTCATCATGATGAACTACACTCGTTATGCGTATAATGATACAACTACGACTGAAATCGACCGAAATTGATGCAATACCTTATACGAGTATTAACGTATTATGGTAAATATTTGTTGGACCACCCAGAACGGTCATAGATTCCGTGATTGAAAATAATTGTAGTATTCCATGCATTGTAAGAGCGCTGATGAGAAGATCACAATGTTCACGAGTTTTTTTTTTATAGTAACATGTAGTAGTTAATGATGTAGAGTTCTTACAAGTCAATTCTGACAATTCATCGGAACCCATAACGTCAGTAGTGATTTTGAAAAACTTTGATTATGTGCTTACATAACACGTTTGAGAAAAAGGAACGATTATAGTTTGGACCTCTAGATTACAGATTCGTCATGTCAGTAAATGTGATGGAACATTAGAAGTTTGTTGGAAAACGTTATCGGTATCCATTATGGAAGACCTAATATCGGTTCGAAGGCTAGAGTATTATCGTTTCATCATTATGAATATGAGATCAATGTAACGAGGAGAAATACGGTGTACGGCGAATTCGCTTTGTTTAATACATTTACGCGTGATTATGGCACTTTTTCGTTTAAATTGGATCGAATAGAACTGTTTACCGATGTTTAACGATAAGTACGTGTTTATAAAAAAAAAAAAAAACAGTAATAATCAACTAAAAAGCTCATTACCGTGAGCATTCAATGATCGCGTGGCTTGCAGTAACTATAGTAGACACCGAATGTCACACTTATACAATACGTCTTATTACAAAATAGAGTCATTCGGAAATGTTATTGTTCATTCATTTCTTACAAAACAAATTGAAAAACATGTAGTTTTAATGTTTTTATATTTAATTTGTACATGTCCACTGCTGCGTAGTAGTACATTTTATTTCACTATTATTATCGCCCATCGCCCCAGAACTAAAAATGCGTACAGTTACAATTAACAATATTACGCTTGTTGTCCAACAGGAACAAAGTATTACAATGCAGCAATAACAGTTACGCATAATACACAAATACCGTTCCTTACGGGTTTATTTCGATGACCAGTCGAAGACATTAGCTTACACTTTCGTTTTTATTCACTCGAAAGTGCTCCACCCAAATACATCGATACTTGAGTGCTTCTAATAAAATACGGATTAACCTACTGCTCGGACTACAGTTAATGGGCAATTGAACCGTTCTAATCATTCACTGTACCGTCCGACCGGCTTAAAATAAATAAATATCTACTGCTGATACCGTTTTTGAATAGAAATCAAGTCATCTCGGATGTGTAAGAGCTACGAGGTAAGTCACACGATAACAAAAGTCAATCGGTCCGGTTTACACGTGTATCGATGTATCACGTGCTGGGCACACAAGTATACTTGGTCATCGGACCCTACCCTACTCGAAATTTGTTCCTTGATAATTTAAATGTAATTAAACTACTCTTAATTTGAAATAAAATTGAAAATTATACGAAAATTATATTTATTAGTATAAAATGTTCTAATTTGGATAGAAGGTCGAAGAGAACGAAATTGTTTTTATACCCCCCCCCCTCTTCAAAATAAAATATTATCTTCGTGCCCGACTCCCCTTGCCACTGATCACATCGAAATGATGAGTTTTACGCAACACTTCCCCTCGTAACAATAAGTATACACAGTCTACTGCACACTCCTTCGATTGCCGTGACGAATTACATCGTATGGACATGCTCAGCCGATAACTCAAATGCAAGATTATTATTACTTCCTCCGCATAATTAGTTACCGGAACAGACACTTTGAATAATTACCGTCTATAATTTGGCACTCAATCGTTGATCTGTTTGTGAATATTATTATAAAAACATATTTGTACCATACCAATAGACATCCTACATTGTTGACTTAGATATGGATAATTTTTGAATTTTTCACACTTATCTATGTTTCCATGTTATTTTTTATGCTTTTTGATTTATAATTTTATTTATATTCTTTATTGCCGAAAATTACCTCTAAGCGAATATTTTCGAATTTTCCATGATATTATGACATATAATTTAAACCATTTTTTTTTTTAATATAATATATTTAACTTCCTCGAGATTTTTTATGAAGAAAATATCAACTATTTGTTCAAATATAGAGATATTTCGCTTAAAAAAAAAAATGTCACCTTTACGTCTTTAATGGTTTTTAAAAATATATTATTCATCTACTTATACCTCTTCTATACAGAATATTCTATATCTATTGACACAATACTAGGAAGATTTGTTTATTAACAAGGATACCTAATTAATAAAATCCTTTGAAAATATTATTAAATACTTAATTTTTCTACATTAAAACGTATCACTTAACAGTATGACATATGGTTTATTTAATTTACAAATTCATTGTTAATTTTCTGTAACTTTTATAAAAAAAAAGTTTCTTAAAATACTACTAACTTATATTATATGCATTTAAGTAAAATGTGTTGCCTATTACATAAGAAAATGTTTTAATAATTGCGACATTTATATTTTATAATTAATTTTAAGAAACATAAAAAAAGTGCTTCAAGAATTAATTACTGAAAAATCAATTCAATTTACAAGTGCCATATATGTAAGGCACATTATAATACCAATTTTACTTTAGAAATATTATCCCTGAAAATAATAAAATATGATATCAAAATATGTAATTTCATCCCCGTTGAAATCAGTACAACTATAATAATGTGTTTTATAACCTGAAAAAAATGTTAGTTTCCAATTGACTTATACTCGACTCAATTCTCAAATCTAAATACTGTCCAGATTAGGTATACTAATATCTTAACAATATAAATATGCTTCAGTACGAGTATTAACCAAGAAAATCTAATGACCTTACAAAAATAATCTTCGGAACTATTATTTAGCGTCATTTTATATAAATATCATAATTATAAACATTCAAAATCTATAATTATAAATTGTGTTTTTATAAATTATGTTTATTGGCGTGTAAAGGTTGATAGAAAATAAGAAAAATAAGAAATTCACCTATATCCATTTTATATATTATTGAAAATTGTAGGATGAACAAAATAAATATTTATCATATTCAAGAAGATTATACGTTAAGGTGTTTAGTTAAAATGTACACACAAATACCCACATGGAAATATTATTTAAAAATATGAAAATGTTTATGAATTATTTCGTTAAAATGGTATAGAAAATAGCAACCTTTGACTGAATTTTTTTTAATTCTTCTAATATAATATTTTTATAGTATACATTTTTAATAATTATTTTATCTCTAATATCTATGAATTCCAAAAATTTTAATCGCTTATTAGTAATAAAAAAACCTGAAAAAATTAACTTATGTATTCAAAAAAAAAAAAAAAAATAGTTCCGGAAAATTTAACTAAATATCATTATGAATTTAAGTTCGATGTTTTAAAATATTTTCACAAAGGTTAAGACTAAACTTAAATAGTTGAATGTAAATTATAATTAATTCTTAAATGACCAAAAAAAAAAAAGGAATCATTAATTTCATAATCATCGAATAACTTCACTAAGATTCTACAGGTTTTTATAACATATTTAAATCATTTTCTATCTGAATCGTACCATAGATTTTAGTTTCAGAGTTATTACATTTTTAAGTTTTCTTGCTTTTTTTTAACAATTTGTTTTTTCATAAACCTCACTTTGTTCTGATTGGGTATCTCAAATTTTTATTTTAAATTAATAATTCTAAAATTACCGTTTCTGACTAACAAACATCTAGCAGTTTCAACTATAAGAATAACATTCTAAAACCAGATTTATTATATTACTACAGACAAATATTTTGTTAGTGTTAAACAATAAAAAACTAAAACAAATTTATCATATATTTAATAATATATTTTTTAACTCTTCCGATGATTGATAAACCAATCAGTGAGTAAGTTATATCGATCGATCACGCCACAACGATCCACACGAAACCGGTCACAACTAGTGTTATATATAAATGCACCCGATATCTTAATTTCAGTATAACTCATTTTTTGCAAAAATCTTAACTTTGGTATGTATATGAATGTATTTTAACTTGGACTTTTTATGACAACATAATTTAATTTTTCTATTTCTATTCGCAGTCTTCACTTATCTTTCTAAAAATCCAACAAAAATCAAAAATGGGCGCTGAAAAGGTATTCATGAATATTGTTGTCATCGGACAAGTCCAACCTACCAAGGTCATCAAAACCGTCACCAAAGCCGCACCAAAATCTAGATCATTAATAGTGAGTATATAAATCTACTTGTCTATAAATTAATTTTAAATTATACTATATATATTACATTAAATCAAAAATATTTAGTAATTTATGGTTATAGATTGAAAATATAATGTTATTATTCTAAAGAACTAGTCAATTTATTGATAATACTATGTTTTATTACTTCTTATATTATAAGTTGTATTACACGAAAAAATTTAAATCTAGTTAAAGTAAGTTTCATAACTTTGTAAACTTACTCTATACATCCATTTAATATAAAATTATAATTTTCTTAAAAATTAATGGTTTCGAAAAAAAAGTTCTAAGTTAATTGTGTAAAATTTATTAAAAATTATACAAACAAAAAATATAATCGTGGATTTTACTTTGTACGTTATAATCTCAATGGTTAAAATATTTCTTTTTATTAAAACATTTCAACTTTTTTCTTAACACAACTAAAAACAAAAATACTTGCATTGAGTGTTATTTTTTTATATTACGAAATCTTTTAACAAACTAGAAATCAAATTATGATTTATGGTACTAAAGGACAACTAAAATAATATCATATTACTTTGATTATATATTTTCAAATATTACATTATCTTTAATTTTGTTAGAATAACCCTATTCACTATATAAACTCCTATGCTTATTATATATTTCCATTGTGATAATATCAGAAACTCTACTATAATAATGTTATAAAAATGGTATCATCGTTTGTTGTACATTTTTTATGTTATATTTTTCAAATTTTATTTTTTTTTTCAGTATTGTTAACTTATGTAAACCGTCAATTTCAAACTCAAAAATGCCATAGTCCTAACAATACTAATCGTATGTAATGTGTATTGACATAGCAAAATATATCAGTTTTTTCCGTTATTTATATTGCTTTATTTTTTAAATGTTTTCATAAATCCTCACTATATTAACCATTATTTTCTGCTTCTATTAGCCGTTAGGATATTATATACTATTATATACTATTATATACTATCTATCAAAAAGCTATATTAACTATAATTTTGACTGAAAACCAGTAAATATACATTTCATACATAATATTCATGGGCGTAACTTGAAAATTTATTAGGGAGAGGGGAGGCAAATGTATAATTACATATCTAACAAAAAGGGTGTCCGTGGCCAGGGTTGAACTAGCTCTATAGCCCGGGCAAAATAATTTAAAACGGCCTCAATGGAACAATAAGTACAATAATAAATGGAATAAGTAGATACTTAATCAAATTATTGTTTAACTGAAAATGATATTCGTAACTCAAAAAACAATATACACAAAAGTACATTTTAATATTTTCAGATTTAATATTATACCTTAAATAAATCTAGTTTACGCATAATATATCTTATCTATAATATTGATATAATGACCTACCTATTAAGATAAATTATATACCATAAAAAATTATTTGATTCATGAAATATGTTTATACATTTAATTTTAATTGAGTTAGAACAGTGGGGTCGGCAACTAATGTTTCTTTTATGCGGCCCGCATGAAATTTCAAAACTAGCAAATGTCATTGAATATCATATAAATTTTTCATATAATCTGACCCTAGAACTATTTTTTTTTTGTGAATGTGGCCCAAAAGTCCATAAAGGTTGCCGACCACTGAGTTAGATTTTGTTTAGATATTGTTTATAATAAAATAATTGCTTACCGGTAATAATTGACTTGAAGTCAACAGAAAGGTCGGAAACTAGTAACAGACTTGTTATTGACTGAACATCAAAACTATTAATATATTTTAAAATAAAAGTCTAATAAATCTAATAAAAATTATTATTATCAAAAAACAATTTAGTTATCATATATCTTGCATGACCATGTCTACCCATACCAACATTATCTTTTGATTAAATGTTGTTCGAACAAACGCGAACGGTACGTCGTATGATTAACATATTGTACACATGTTTTGTATTCAAATTTCCTAAAATTTTTCTATTTATAAATATTGTGATGAAATCATTGATATCAATCGGCCTATCGCTACATTAAATATGTTCAATTTTCAAACTCCGAGTTATCTATTCCTGTGTCACCGCATCCATTAGTAATGTCATGTTACAAGGCGATATTTTTTATTTTAAGAATAGAAGATAGACGAATTAAATTAAAAACAAAAAAAACTAAGTAATTTTATTTAACCAAAATTACAGCAGCCCACCGGGGCATACCCCGGTGCCCCGGTGGCCTAGTCCAACCCTGTCCGCGGCTAAATGTCGCTTTACTATCTACATATTATTATACAAAATTATTCATTTTTCAACATTATGTTAGATTATGATCGAAAATTGAAAATTAAGATTCAAAAAAAAAATTATATAGTGATATCTATAATCAGCTGTTTTGTACTTATTTTAAAACAAGGTATGTTAAATATCAGAGGGGGCACTGCCCTTCCTTATCTATTCCAGGGAGGATTACCCCCTCTTACCTCCCCCAGTTTACGCCTATGATAATGTTTATAATATTACATTTTTGTTGTTGTTGATTCATAAACGAAATCGAATTACGAGTGTTTAAAGTTTCAAAATCGATAGTTCTATTGATATTTACAATTTAATAACGAGAATTATGGTTATTTTATTACAAAATGAAACTACGAATTTTCAAAAATTTTTATATTGCAAATTAAATGATTACTATCATTTTTTTCGTCGAGTGTTTGGGGTCAGCAAGTTATATTTACTACCATTTGCCTCTAACTCTCACCTACACACACATACACACACACACATACACGATATGTGTCCTCTTATTATTTTCAATTATAACCAATTATCTTGTCTTCTTCCTTTTAACCTTTCATTTCATGACGACTATCTGCTAAATAATAATATAATTATATATAAGTACAAAATGAAATTTACCAAAATATTTTTTTTTGTTAATACATCACATGGTATTTATATTTTGAACTATGCAAACGTATATATTTTATTCATTTCATTTACAATAATTTTATTTGATGTGACTTCAATTTCAATTGACTATTACTAGTATAAAAGTAATCGCCATACACGAGTATAGTAAAGTAATATACAGCAAGTTAACAGGTTGGAGGTCATTATTTTACTTTTTTTATAAAAATTTACCTTTCTCTATTATAGTACTATAATATTCTTTATTTCATACCCTTTGCAGTATTTTCTAATGATTAGATAGGTAAGTACAACAGTTAATCGGCGATTACTGACAGTCATTTAAACATGAATTATCATGTACGTGAATGTCTATTCACATACTATAATGCAGAGGTTCCCAACTAGAGTGCTACGAAATTATTTGAAATATATATGTAATTTTTAAATAACATCATGAAAAATATAACACTGCGAGTAATAAAACATACTATACTCTATATTTATAGCAGGAATCAGCAGTTAATTTCTATAGCTGTCCAGATAAATTTTAAAAAAAATGTCGAGGGCCAGAAAAAACTTAAAGTTATTATCAATAATGTATTTATTTTTGTATTAAAAACAAATTTTAAGACAAATGATTTTATATTTAATTATTTATAAAGTAATTATACATTCATACTAATTTTAATATAATTTTATACTTAAGTTTAATGAGAGAAATTACATTTCTTTTCTTGAGCTAATTTTTTAAAATCTGGTACTCTTGGAGAACAACTGATGCGCAAAGTGTTTTCGAAATGGTGATCAGTTAATCTTGAACGATATTTATTTTTTAAAAGCGTAATTTTGGAGAACGAAGTTTCACATAAATACATAGAGCCAAATATAGAAGCTAATTTTATGGCCAGGGTTTTACAGTTTATGTATTTATCCAAGACATGTTTTGTCTAAAAATGTAAATATTCCATTTGAAGTGAAGATTTTGGTAGTCTAAATAATTTTGTGGCAACGTTAATCCATTATACAGTAGGAGAAACTTTAAAAGGATTTTTTAAAAATCGAGACAGTTTTTCAATTTCTGCAAATTCTTTGAATCTCTTCACCAAGGTCCGATTAAAGACTTAAAAACATACTGCAGTCTATGTCGGAATTCTTTTTATATTCTAAGATTGTTGGAAAATGAATAAAATCTTGAATTTTTATATCTTCTTCAAATATTTCAAGTTTTTGTCGGAAAGCAGATACTCTTGATATCAGATCACAAATTAACTTTTTATGCACTACAGCAATTAGCAAATTACTTCCCTTCCACGGGCGGAACATTGCCCGCGAGCCGCCTATTGCCGACCCCTGGTCTATAATATAAAACCTACTATGTATAATTAATTATATACAATATAATTTAATGTATTAATTCAGTGGCGTATATAAGGAGGCCTAGTGGGCCACATCCCCCCCCCGAAATGTTTTAAAAAACTTAAAAATTATTTTAAACGTATGTTATATTTTAATGGTGCTTTATGCTTAATTAGAATTCGCGTTCAACGTCAAATCATTTTGGGATATTCTGTAAATTAAATGTAGATAAGTACTTATTGTGTCTTATTAGTAATTCTTATATAGCAATGGTAATTTAACTAACTTCATTCTGTCCATAGTAGCCCCTTCCGAAAATATTTTCTGTATACGCTAACTTGGCTAAATAAAACCGAAATTACAAAATATAAATTTAAATACACGATATATTACTATTGCGTATTCGGTATTTTCTTACTCAAGCATAAATATAACAATTGAAAAATTAGATTGTACATTCAAAATCAGAAGTTTTTTTATATTTTCAAATTATACGCATATTAAAGGAGAGCTAACTTTTAATACTAATTATTTTTTTCTAAAGTTATTCATCACCACTGAAAGAAATTGTAATTTAATTTTTTTTTTTAATAATAAATAAAAAATTAATATTATTATTAATCGGTATTATATTTTTTTTTACGTACACTCTGCCAGTATTGCAAATATTTTGAAAATGACTTGATGTAACCACATATTGCAAAAGCAATTATACTTAGCGAATAGTTTCTTGTATAAAAGTGTTGGTATGTATGTATATGCTACCGGCAATATAGATAATTCAGGTATTTTGCAAAATGCCTGGGCATTATGCAAATTGCCGACCCATTTTAGGCAAAGTACAAAACATTTTATTATATATTATATTACATTAAGATTTTTATAATTATTATACATTATTACTTATATTACAAACAACATTTAATTTTTATTTTTTATTATATTATTATTACTATTAAATAAATATTTTACCTAAACTACAATTTACTTATTATAACATGTTGTAGAAAATAACATTTTAAAGTCCACAAATTATTATTTTTAAGCCAAATACACTTTTTATTTTGACACTTGGACTTACAAACACATTTTAAAAACTCTTGGCCAATTCTTGTGAATTCAATTTTTATCAACTCATTATATTGTTCATCAGATAAAAAGCTAGTATTAGTGGCCAAATTTAAAAAAAAAATGTCCAATTTCGTTAGTTTTTTTCATATTGCCTACTCCACGATTGGCATTATACATAATACCTAGGCAGAGGTCGTATTATGTATATTGCCGAGTGATTTTTGGTATTTTGCAAAATACTGGATTATCCATATTGCCGGTAACATATACATATATACAATAAAATAGTTATTAGCAGAAGAAATACAGCTACTTTGGACTAAAAATGTTTTTAGTTATTACGACTTCCTCGCCACAATAACAAGAGCATGGGTATTAATTGAAAAAAAAGACAAAAAAATTCATGTGACTTTTGTAATGATGTGTTATGTAACGCGCGTTTGTGGGTGACGTAGAGATTGATCTACAATGGAATGATTTATCAAATCGGACAGTATGACGTAAGAACGGTTAATAAACTAATAATCGCTCGCGTTATTATTACTGAGCGTAGATACCAAGTGTATATGTGATACCATCGTTGTTAACATATCATTAATGTATTTAATCAATTACTTTGTACGCACACGCGGTACGCACATGGTACAGCATATTCAAACAGCAAAATATTCACCGCCATATATTCTTCGATGTATCCGTACACATCGGACCGCGTTGTCATTCAATAATATCAGTGGCGGATCCACGGGAGGTAGGGGTCAACCCCCTCCCCCCAAAATCCATAATTTTATGAATTAAGAAAAAGATTTTTTTTTTTTTTTTTTAAAGTACGAGGAAAAGTATATATTAAGTATATTTGTATTTTTGTTCATACAAGAAATTAGTAGTCTTAGATTTAAATGAATTCATTATATTACTTACTCTTATCTTAATTCATTATCAATTACTGATTGCAATGTTATAAAACATATCCCAAGGAAAAACTATTTTCAACCCCCCCCCACCCCGCAAGAAAATCGTGGATCCACCACTGGTTAGTACTATTATGTATCCAGGTGTGAGAAAGTCACGATTAACATCCAATGCTAGATCTTGGCGGGAGTGGCTCTTAAGTCTATGAAAAATAAAAAATTCATGAGCACAACTCGCTGCATTTTTGTTCGCCCCCGATGTCCAATTTTTCCTAGACCCAACGCTGCTAACCGCAGCACACAAGGCGCAGGCGTAAAGAGAATTCGAATCGTATAGGCATAATTTGACCGAAAAATGCGGAGAAAAACATTGAATATCATAATGCATCATATTCGCATTTTTATAGTTCCTTTATCGACAGTTAATCGGTTGAGTAGCTATTTCTTCTCGTTTCATAATATGATTTGGACAATATTAGGTATTCTAATGTAATATTATTCAAAAAAAAATAAATAAAATAAAATAAAGAAAATGCATCATTTCAACACCGAATTTAAACCAACTATCATAAAAATATCGCAATAAACCTTATTGATATTGTTATACATATTTTATTTTTTTTTAACGCGAACGAATGAATTTGTAAACAATAACAATATTTAATATTATTATTCACCGATAGAATATGTACAATGGTTTTCGCTCAACACTTGAAAATAAGGTTTTCTTTCGAGTGTTTACAATCGTTTTCCAATAAAATATTTAATATTAATATTAATATCGATTAATCATTCAAGTGTTCGAAAATCGTGTACGTTACTTGAGACGAAAAAAAAAAATTAACACTATTGATTAACTAAAACACTTTAATATATTTGTATATAATAAGTTATTAAATTTACATTATTTCACATCTGATTGATAAATCATAGAAATATTATTATTATCTGTAGCCGCGAACAGACAAAAACTAACTACACTCGAAACGACAAACAATTCTAACGCAGCCAAAAGTATATTACTGGCAATGAAATATATATATATATATATAAAGAAAAAATACTAAAATTTGGGGTCAAGTAGGTAATATAAATAAAATAATATAACAATTATTCTGTATTATTATTTACAAGAAAAAAAAATCTATATATATATATATAAAAAATAATAATAATAATAAGTATATAATAATGATTTGGGACTTGATGACACACTTATCGTTTGGACGTCGGCGGCGCTGGGGTGTGCTGCATGCAACCTTCGACGTTCTCCGGCCAATCGCATACGTTTTCTTTCGGGTTGAACACTAAATTCGACGGGCACGGCATGTGATGTTTCCTCTCGCCCTCGCACATGTAGTACATCGTGCAGTCCGCTTTGTCCGGGTGATAAGATATATGGCCGTCTTCTTCTTCGCACGTCACGGATGTCGCTGGAAGAAAGAACACGTTGGTTTTTGGTTTTTTAAAAAATTCTTCACGCGATGCTAGGCAACTAAACGTACACTATGCGTCCCAAACACATTAATAATATTATTGATGGTATTCACCGACGTTTTTCGAGTGAGCGACTCGTGATTATAATTCAATCAATCTTACCTACTTTTTTGGTAAAAAAAATTACTAATATAAAGATTTATTAATTTCGATTATTAATTACAAGATGATTGCTTGTCCGTTGTTAATAAGTGTTGATTTTATCATTTTAACCGGAGCTTAAATCAAAATAAATATTGTTTACCGTTATGGGACACTTAAACGTTTAAACGTTATGCAAATGTATACATTAATAACATTTTCCGTTTATCGTTATTGACGATTAAAACGTTATGAACAATTTAGCGGTATACGTTTAGCGTTTCGCGTTATTTAAATATTTAAATTAATGTTAAATTTGAAATATTTTCAAATGTAGTATTTCGCAATCACTACTAGATCAAATAACATTAAATATTTTAAATTATACATATTACATTTAACGATATTTTCTCTTTGTATGTCTTATAACTCATAATTTATAAATGAAGCAATCATATTTGTTGTACAATAATAATAAAATGCACATACCACGTAAAATATGTATTTATTGTCAATTTATAACTTATGTACCTATGGTGTATTACTAATGTTTCATCAATATTCACCGATATTATTTTTGATGAGGGTTCCACGGCGACAATATCCAACGTAATTTCAGAAAGCATATTTTAAATTATAATTTGTAATGGTTACTTGTATTTCATTCGTTGATAAATTTGATTGTTGTTTTAAACATCCTTTTACATTTATTTTATTTACTAGTAATTTAAGTCCGTTTTAAATAAATAACTGTTCCAAATCTATTTTACTGATAGTTATAAATATTTTCCCGTGAGAATTTCTTTTATGTTTCAATCGTTATTCGTTATCTGATACGTTATTTTATATAAATTTTAATCGTTTATCGTTTACCGATACATTATCTGTTATCCGTTTTCATCATTTTTTGAACAGTTAAACATAATACTCATAACATTATCAAAATATTTTGGTGACCTGATTTTAACAAGCCACTACTATTTAAGTAGTAATTTATAATAAAGAAATAATGAATAAATAATTAAATAATAAATAATTTATAAATAATACTGAAATTTTTATATTATTTAAATCAATACCTATTTATATATTAATGCCTATTGTTTTAGACATTGTTGATTTAAATGTTTGTACTTTTACTTGAATTTAATATTTTGTTATATACTGTTATTTTAGAAATTGATGTATTATTACTAGGACCCGGGACTTATTGCACACAAATTGTAGAAAATATGTATACACATATGCACTTAAAATCGAAATATGCAACTGAATTTTTTTATGATAGCAATTGAAAATTGTTTTTGTAATTTGATTTATTAAATTCTATTTATTATTTTTTTTTTTTTTTTTTGTTTAGTTTCTTTTTCGACAACAATAATTCTATAAGTCTAAAACTATGATATTAATAATCGAATTAATCTTTTTCTCCTATAGCGAAAAAAAGTTTAGTGTAATTAAAAAAATTTAAAAAAAAAATAAGCATTAGAATAAATTAATTTCAAGTAAAATATAAAAATGAGTAAATAAGCGAAATAACAATTCAATTTAAAAAAAAATTGTCTATTATGTATTTTTCCTAAAAAATTACGAGATTTGCATAACATGCAATTTAAATGCTCGTACTTCAGTCCGTTGTCTTAAAACAAATTTGAATCTTACTCAGATTATTCTACAGTTATTATAAAAGCATATGCAAATGCAACAATTCCCGAACCCTAATTATCATCAATTTCTTAATTTTTCATATTTTACTATAAAAACCTCAGTTTCATTAAATGTATGTTTTATTTAAAATATACGAGTAACGATAAAAAATATTTACGGTCTTTGGTCGTATAAACTGCGTTTCTTCCTGTTGCCTCGTACGGGCCATCATATTCCAATTTAACTTTGTAACCAGCAAGTTCTTGCTTCATAGCATTGATTAACGGATATTTACCGGTACCGCAAACACCACGATAATCATCCATGTCCACGGACCATATCATAACTCCACCGAATCCTTCTTCTTTCAACCAACTCATCTAGAACCGGGGGTGAGGGGAGGAATTTAGTTTTTTCGTTTTTAAATTCGGATAACATACAAAACATGGTGTTTTGGTATACCTTGGTCTTTAGACTTCTTTCGTCGTCAAAACCGATCCATTGATCTTTTCTATAAGCAAATGGTACTTGTTGTTCGTTATCCCATACAAGGGTGGTATTTTCCACGTGTAAAAAGTCACACACCTATATGACGATATTATCAAATGTTAATAGTGACCTCACAACTGTACTAAATATCAAATTTAATGTACCTCGTAGTATGCCATAAAACCAGCTTCTGATGTGTACTTTCCAGCTGTACCACCGCCAGATGCTGGAGCGCCGATGTCGAACTTAGACGGATCGACTAGAGTAAATGATCTTCCGTAAGTGGGCATTCCGATCATAAGCTTTTCTTTGGGAGCACCTTGTTTGACCCACTCTCTGGCACTATAATCCTAAAAAAAAAAGAATACCAAATAGGAATTAAGGTTATTCTGATAAAATAATTAATTTATAATCCCTTTACTTACCACAGTAAGCTTTTTTTGATAGCTCGTGGCACTTTCTAAAGGATACAGAGGACTGTTATGTCCTACTTGACGTTCCCATTGGCCGTGGAAATCATAAGTCATCACGTTTATGAAGTCTAAATATTTGGATATTTCAACTACATCATAACTAAGGGCGAAAAAAATAGATAAATTGTACAATTGTTCGTTAAACTGCATTTATAGAGCTTACCCAGCAGCAATTGCTTCAAAACTAGCTGGCACTGCAGCAGTCAATAACAGTCTTGGTAGACCAGAGCTCTTTGATTCTCCTTCAAATGCTAATCGCAACTCTTTCAGTAAATTAACGTAAGCTGCCTTATCGTCCGATCCTCGGGGATACTCCCAGTCGACATCCAAACCGTTGAATTTGTGCTCTCTAAGGAATTCAATGGCTTCGTACACAAACTGATTCATGCGGAAAACATTTCCGGTCAGTTCTTTGAAAGGAGTTGATCCGAACGCCCAACCACCGATAGCCAAAAGAACCTAATCAAAACGAAATGTGTATACCGGTGCATGAAAACATATTTCAAATACTCCAAATAATATTAGTTAACCCGTGTTTACCTTAAGATTAGCGTTTTTCTCGCGAAGGGCCATCATTTCTTTGTATTGTTCAGTATCTTTCTCGTCAATGAATGTCAATTTGAAATCTTTTAACGTTCCAAATGCATAAATTACATGCGTACACAAAGACGGATCAATGTTGTCCGGTGTGAACTTTCCAGCACCGGGTCTCTTAATAGACCAACTCGTCATGTAGCACATGATTTGAGGCGCTCGTACTGAAATTAGCCGACAACAATGTAATAATCTATGCTATGGTTCGAAGTTCGAAAATTCTTACCATTCATGTCAACTACATCAGTTTGTATTGCAGTGGAAGCTTGTATTTTACCCGGTTTCACTTTAGCTAGTACTTCACTAACACTTATCTTGATTGGCGATGGCTTTGTAATTGTTTCCGCAGTAATAGTATTAGCTACCTTTGACCAATCAATGTCTTCCTTGCCTCGTTTTATACCTCTAAGCTCTTCTCTATTTTAATAAATACACCGTGTATTTTATTAAACGTGCTTTCGATCAATTATCTCTTTTGATACAAACCTCATGGCACCAATCAACGGGTATTTCACATCACCTCCACAGAAATTACCGGTAAAATCATCCATGTCCACTGTCCATACCATAGCACCTGCGTATTCGTTGTCTTTAATCCATTTCATTTTGTTCCTTATCGATCGCTCGTCGTCAAATCCAATCCATTGATCTCCATTAATAGCATAGGGAACTTTCATTTCTTCGTCCCACACATAAGTTGCACCGTTTCTAAGTATTTCGCAAATCTACCAGGCCGAAGGAAAAATAATAATTGTAACAGTACATATCATAAAAATATTATTAGTTAACAATTCTAGGATATAATAAATATTTACATCTATTGATGATAATAACGGACCATATAAAATAACAATTCAGTAAAAATGAAAATGATAGTCAACGATACGTAATATTTTCAATCAGGTAATAATACGATTTGGAAATTATCATTTATGAAATTACTAATCGAATAAATACCTCGTAGTAAGCTAAAAATCCTGCTTCTTTCGTAAATTCTCCGGCTTTACCCCCGCCTGATGCTGGCGAATTGACTTTGTAGTTGGCCGTATTTGTTAAAGTGAACGTTCGGCCATAAGTTGGCATACCAATGACAAGCTTATCTTTTGGCGCGCCCATCTTAGTCCATATGGATGCGGCGTTGTCAACGCTTAATTGTTTGCGCCACTCGGAATCAGATGACGGGGCGTATAAGGGTGCGTTGTGTCCAGTTTCTCTTTCCCACTTTCCGTGAAAATCGTACGCCATTACATTGATGAAATCCAAATACCTGAATGGATGACAGTCGGAATGATCATAAATTTGAAGTGTTGTGAAATTCTATATACTTACGAAGAAACAGCTGGAACATCGTAACCACTTTTAATGTTATCCGGGCCAACTGGGACAGCAGCAGTTAACATCAAACGAGGTTTTTTCACCTCTTGTGCTTCGGCCTCAAACGCTTCTCTGAGTTCTGGAGGGAAAACAAAAACGTAGCAATCGTTTGAGTTTGAAAAATAAAAATAAAAATATGTACAACATCTTATTTGTCACTTTACCTTTCAATAAAAGCACAAAGTTCTTCTTGTCTTCGGGTCCTTTCGGATACTCCCAGTCCAGATCCAAACCGTCGAAGCTGCGAGCACGAAGGAAAGGTATGGCACTATAAATAAACGTCTGTCTTGCGTATCGAGTAGCGGACATGTCCTTAAATTTTTGTGTGCCGAATGACCAACCACCTGGAAATGTACAGTGAGCATCGAATACATCAATATGTTAACTATAAAGGTACCGCAGTTATAAACAATTCAATATTTTTTATAATCTGGACGGATAAAATGATAATCTCTATTATTGTGGGTTAGATTATGGACTGATACATTACATTATTGAATCATTTGTTTTAAAATAATATGACGGCCCGTTGCACAGTGTATAATATTATTATAATTACATTTATAACAAAAGAAAACTAACGAGCATATAATTAATACCACCCGTGGATAATTAATAAGTATATATGAAAAAAAGATAATCAAACGAAATTAATACGATGAGTTATTTTATCTTCTTACATAATCATATTTTTACGGTAAATAAGCTGGCATGGTATCGAATCAGTACATTGAATAGACGAAATAAAAGTTAAAATTAAAATAAAATTTTTACGAAATCTTAAGAATATTAAAATGTAAATTTAAACATTTATATAAATTTATATTATTTATACGTAAGTATATAAAAAAAAAAAAATAATCGCCAACCATACTATACAAATTGAATTTATATCAAACATTTTTCTATGAATCAAAAGTAATGATTTATATTTAGTTATTATTTCATATCAAAATATATTATTTTCATTTTATATATCTAGCGGTTATGAAAAGTATTTTCGTAATTAAGAATTTACAGCGTACAACCTGTTTCGAAATTTAAAGATTTTCACTTTTATAAATATGGATTAAGTAGAATAAAGATTAATTGAGAGTTATAACAAAGCTATACCTGAAATAAAAACAACAAACCTCTAAAGTAAAATGATTTCTTCATAGTATTTTATGACTAGTGATCTTTGACATACAAACCGTTTCATAATTTAAATTTTACGTAATTTTTTTAAAAAAAATGCACGTAGCAATATTTTACGTATACAAATACTAACAAATTGTATTCGACTGTAATTTATCAAACTTTACCTAAGGCTAATAAGGTCTTTAACTTAGGATTGGCTTTTTTCAGGTTCTTTATTCTATCGTACAATCCAACCTTTCCGTCTTTGCTCTCATCGTTTGATTCGAATGAAGACAAACGTCCCTTTTTCAGCCACCCGAAGGCAAATATGACGTGTGTGCATAAATCCGGGTCGATATCTTCGGGTAAGTATTTTCCAGTTTTCGGTCTATATTGTGACCAATTTGTGTAGTAGCATACAATCTGAAACACGAAAACTCTACCTTAGGAATTTTCTAATTATATTTCCACGGGCCTTGACGTTCTAATGGAGAAAGCTAACGAAAAGCAATGACACACGAACAAAGCACAGGCGTGTCCGCATATTAATTATGAGACCTACGTACAGTTTGTTTTTTAAACGACACTTTAAAAACATCCTTGGCATTTACACTTGCATCTGTGTAACAAGTCGTTAGACTTAATAATCATATTATTTTTTTTTTAACACGGCTCAACACGTATTAATATAACAATAGTGAAGAAAAATAAAATTGTTCGGCAAATATTCTTCTTCTATCCCGGTGCATATATTATTTCGTCTTAACATAAGCGCGCGTCATATCCGTAATTATGTACGTTAATATAAATGCACAAATGTCTCTTCCTATACGGGCGTTTGGTAATTTACTGCGAAACTTTGGAGTTCATAACTCTTGTGTTGAGCAAATTACGTACGTCTTGATTTGATGAAACGACTCCACATGATAATAAAAGAGAATAAGTTGTAAACAAATTTGATGTGCACGTATAATATGAATATTATCTACGTACATTGTACACAGATAATATTTATGTAAAGCCGCAGCATTAAACCAGTTTGGTCTGTATGATGTGCGACTGGTTACATGCACACAGATAGGTTCACCTTAATTGCGTTATATTAAGAATAAGTGCATTTAGTAACCGATATGATTCGATGAGTCATGTAACATAAATTCTTGATTAACAACGACCTCAGTGTGCATGAACACAAGTGTATTTATTTTTTCTTGTGCGTCGTGTCAACATAATATTTGGTCAATCAAATTGAAAATAAAATCAAAATATAGTTTAGACAGGTAAATCATAGATGATCGCAAATAAGAATTATCAATTTAATTACATGTACTATAAATCGTTACCTAATAATTACCATTATTCCTTCACCGACCAAACATAAACTAGGAAAATGATTATGATCTTGCGTAACAGAATATGATCTGCTATATTTCTTTCTTTTATATTTCTACACCTCATTTCGAACAAGTCTTATTTATATTCTACGCCATGCCGGGCACAGAGTATTTGATTGTTAGTATTCTAGAACCTTATTTTAGACATTAGACGCATATGGATTATTGTTAATAACGATTGTTTAAAAACAATTCTTATTTCGAAATTGAATTAACGAGCACCGAAACAATTTCATTCCATTCGACTATATTTTGTCGTTTAATTAAACAATGTCGTCATGCCACCATCGAAGTATGATTTCTTAGTGTCATAAAATCACTGAATGAATACCCATTTTTAATTTTGAAATCACAATCACTACGCATGCCCTTCGGAAGATTTGATATATATATATATATATAATAACATGTATGGATACGTATTATATGACATAAATAATGTACTTATTTTGTCAATTTCGGCGATAAAAGGTAATATTTCCTGACCTATCGCATTTGCAAACAAAAGGTTTTTTCAATCGCGTGGTCTGCGCGCGGACGTAAGATTGTATACTTCCCTTATACAACTACATTGAATAGAATTTTATGCACGTCTATATAGATTAATTGTCAGCTCGTTTCTCAACCCAATAATCACCGAAGGTCTTTTGAAGTGATTTCATTGTTCTAGAAAAAATCGTATAGGACCATAATATATGGGCTTGTGCCACGTCATCGTGACGTCCCTCCCTTTCCCTATACGGAAAACAACAGGGCTTCGTCCTTCGGCCTACGGGTGAATGTTTACCTTATATCCGCCATCGTCCTGGTTATCTTTCGCCGTAGACACGTGTTTTTCCGTCGAAGCGTCGGTGCCCGATTTTCTGGTGGCCACGCGGTTGCGAATTTTAAACTTGTTCACCGAAGCAGACGTTTCCATGTCTACGGACGTGGAAGTCGCTGCCACCGATGAGTCTGAAATCGATGCGGCGTCTTGCTGCAGTCTGTTGCCAGTGGGCCGTCTCATTCTTCTTCGGATCGCTGAAAATACAGTAATTGAATTTAAATCAACGTCTCACAAATGATTTACGTAATATAACAGTGAAATTGTTCCAATAAAGCTACTGTTGTCGAATGAGAATCAAAACGTCACTAAATAACACTTTAGCAGTATATGTTTTCAGTGAAATTGTTATAGATTTATGTTTTTGTTTTTTTTTTTAATTTTTTTTTTTTTTTTGTTTTTCAATCATATCGAAAGTCTCACGTACTATTGTATCAAATAATTAATCGTTTTGATACAGTATAAAAAATGACCACACGCATTCACGTACTGATATATGACAGCGAGAACTGACTTTTGCTGTACTATGTATCTAGTATATAGGATATATGGTATAAACCAACGTTTGTAATTAAATTACATAATAAATACTATTATAATATTAGCATATGCGTGTATGTATAGTGTATATATTTTACGCGTATTAACATATGGATCAAATCGTATAAATAAAAATAGTGGTTCCTTTGTACTTCATTTATGTTTTATTTTTACGTAGCATGTTGAATTTGTCTATAATTATTTTCTGAATGATATACTATTTGATTTATAGTTAAAAATATTAAACGTACCATACACATTGTATGTATATATCGTGATTTTAAAAATCGTATAAAAAGCAAAAAATATATGGTACATTTATGTTGACAAAAGAACATAATGAAATATATGATTTAAACTAATGGTTGACAGTTAAATGAGATTCTCGTGTATTATAGTAGCTTTACAAGCAATATAAATGTCTGAATAATTCAGATTTAATCAAAATTTTTTAGTATTGTTCTTTATCCAGGCTCGCACGTCGTACCTAAAATTTTGAAGTTTAATATTCATAGATTCCAGAAATATTGATAGCTAAAAACAATTATTTTATCTAATTTTTTATAGATATGATGTACTGATAAAAAAAAGTCTACCCTATAAACGCTTAAATCAAAAATTTTGAAAAAAAAATTACAAAAATGATTTAATCAGTTTTACGTTAATTTATGTATATTAAAATATTTTAAGAAGATCACCATAAACCTAAAATCAGTAAACAAATATATTTTTAAAGAGTCTAATGCTATGAACAAAGTATACGATTATGAGAGATTCTATTTTATGTATACGATCGTCGAATAACTAATAGCTGTAGTTTAATTCAAGAAATATGCAAATTATTAGTGTAGGTACCTATTATTGAATGTAATTACTATCAAACACGTTTTATGTTACAATTTATAAAATAAAAGTAAAAAAATGGTAATAGTAACTACGACGAAGACGACCATGAACCAATTATATTTATCAAAAATAAATCAGATCAAAACTTAAGATTTATAACCTTGCTTTTTTACGGAATAATGTTTATTAATAATCAATTAATTAGAGCGTGGGAATGAAAATAATAAACTTTCTAAGGTTCACAGATATCAAACAAGACGTAGTCGTTAACCACTGTAAACGTATCTTTTCCGAGTACATCATAATTGGAACTTTTATTTTAAATTGGTTTCTTAATTAATTTTTCTCACTTCGTTTAATACATTGTGCAGAACGAATCTTAAGCGTATGGTACTCAAATCAAGAAAACGGAGAAAAACAACGGAGGGCTTAGGTTTTTAGAACTGTTAACTTTTTCGAATCCACTTATCAAATCAACAGTGTCCTCAAAGTCTTAAGTAACAGAACGCCTTCGGCGTATGATCGTGATTTTCTTGATAATATTTTTTTACCTCTCGAATATTCAATTATACGTTTGTGTGTGTGTGTACGCGGATAAATTTCGATTACAATATTAATGTTCTCATTTTTCTGACCTTAAACGTAATAATAATTTATCAATCCGTTTTGCGGTGCGCGTACGTATTAAAAAATGTCGTGTTCCCATTATTACACTAGCCGGTGGTGTACGCGTATCGGTCGTAAACGCATTTACGGGATCGCGTTAAACAATATAATTTTTCTACATGCGAAAATGCGTGCGATTTCTGAAAGCGACAACCGGTTCGAGGGCGACGGCGTAAAATGATTTGATCCGACTGCGACGGTGATAGATTTCGTACACGCGTTGGGAAACGATTCGGTCGATATTCCAGTTTAAAAGGAAACACAATCAGCGGTGAACCCACGTCGGAGTACCGCAGTCGTTGTACCTATTGGGTAATAGCCGTCGCCGTCGGGAGCTGGTTTGGCTGGTCTCCGATACGCGCAGAAAAGGTGTAATTATTATTGGAAGTATCCAGTGTGTGTGTATGTGTGTGCACGTAGATCAGCTGTTTAGGATGATCGGAGGGGGGGGTGGTAAAATAAAAAACGAGAGCGTTGCGTACCTACGCGTCGTTGACAAAAAAAGTAAAAAAGTAAAAGGAACGCGCGCGAAACGACCGCCGTCGCTGCGAGCCGTGTGCGCGGCGAAACTGGTTCTCCGCCCAAAGGTTATCCGCGCGTCTAACCGTCTACGTACGTACAAATATTATAATACGAATAATATCCGTTTTTCGTTCGTATGCCGACCGCGGCACGGCGATATAATATTGTGAAATCAAGGGGGGAGGAAGTTAAGGGGGTTCAAACTCCTCCCGAAACGCTGGAAAATCGTTAACATGTTTTTACACAGTCAAAGTGGTATATGGATTGTATAGTTATGAAAATTTTCAACCCAAAACCACTCCCGAAATATTTTTTTTTTGTGTACGCGCGTCCGCCGCATACAATAATAACGCGTTAACATCTGCGGACCGTGTGGGGGGTCATCTTGGATTGCAAAATTCTTCGCTCGAATCGAATTCGCGTCCCGAAAGGCTTTCGAGTTCGCACGCACGTACGTGGAGCAGTGACCAACGGAATGTTATAATATCGTTTCCCCGTGAAATCCGTATCGAACTCGTGCGTTTACCCCAAACGTGACGCGTGACGCACGAGAACCCGCGACGTTTTCGACTGACGAACTTAAACCATCAACGGTGTTGTTGTTATAGGCGGACAAACGGAAAGATCAATTTTTTATTTTTTTTTTTATTTTTCCGATCGCTTTACCATCTCGTCGAATACGTCAGAACGAAATATGCGTGTAAATAAAAAAAAACTCGCAGCAATAACCGACCGAGAGGACGTGAGGATCGTCAGAGAATCAATTATTTTCGCCGTAACGCAGAACGACGAACACATCACTCCGCATACGTCCGTCGTACGCGCGTATTCAACGTTATTCGTACGCGATAGCTAATTGTTGAGGCTGATACGTTGAAAAATACGCAAATGCCGGCCAAACAGATAATTTCCGTAGATCTGTAAACTAGAAGAAAAAAAGGTGCGCACACACGTATCTGGATCGTGTAGAAATGCGTGTTTTGTAATAAATAATAGCTGTTTGTAATGATAACCATGACTGTTGTACCCATGAGCTATTTTTGAAAAATCGTCGGTACAACAGATTTCATGATGTAATATTATTCTAAATTTGTCATAAACAATATTTCATTTGCTGCGCCCCGATAGTAAACAAATTTAAAACGTAGGGAAATATTTTGCATCGTTCGACTTTTATTCGAGTTAATTTTCGAAAATAACATCTTTCGAGACTTTAGTGTTTTTGTGTGAACGCGTTTAAAACTTTTTTCCACGTGACCTCTTTTGGGGAAAAAAATACATGTCATCAAAAACACGTATTTTGATCATATTATACCATGTTCTTTTTTTTTATTATTATTCATAATAACAATAATTATCGTATAGTATTATTTCACGTCGAAGTAAATGAAACGATTTGACTCCAACGTAACTATCTGATTATTTTGAATAATAACATTTTATGTTGTAGTACCTACAACAACGATTAATATTGTGAAATTATTTTTTCACTCGCGCGGAGCAAAATTATTTGCGCGTGTCAAAATGTCAAAATGAAACACTTTGAATAAAATAAAAGCTATTATTCATTATTGCACTTTCCGTTTTAAAAATATCATAGACATATTTTTTAAATGTCAAAAATACTGTTTAATTCATGAACAGCGTGTAACGCAGTGCGGATAGGGATAATAATATCTGTACAACCATTAAAATAATAAAATCAATGTTAAGAAATGGTGTGTGAAGAGGTAAGTGACCTAAAATATTATAGCTATTGTAACTTACAACTGGATTTAAATTAATTGAATTTGATTGAAAAAAAATATTTCTATGATTCAATAACAATAATAATGACGGTAATAGTCTTTGTAATAATTGTTAGCTAAAATTAAATTTATCAAATACTCATCTTATGATATGTATACACAGTCTATTTGTGTTCGAATTAGCTACTGAATATTCATAATGAGGTAGAATAAACTTAATCCTTAACTTTGATAGTAAATATTTTATTTATCATTCTATCTAACAAGTTTTTTTTATTGTTGCGAAATTCTTATCATATAACTATTTACGGTTGCTTTCAGTAATTTTATATAAACTACCTATATTTTAGAATTATTGCATTAGAATTTAAAAAATTATAACTATGAAAAATTATGTTTATATAAATAAAAGTATACAGTGTTATGAAACACATTTAGTTACCACAGAGTACATCTGTGTAATGAAGTTTATATACGTATAGGTACCATTCATTATGCATTTAGGTGCTATGCAATTATTTATAGAAATAGCCGTTATGCATTTTTAATTTAATTGTAACTACAAGGAAACAATTCGCTTTAAGAATACGTTACATCAATTCGTATATAAATTTTTTTATAAAATAATTTTGGACCGAATTTAAATATTCGAAAGTTTTGAGTGGCTGCTTTATTTGAAATTGGACACGAATATATTACTAGTTCAGATGTGGCGATAATATGGTGGACTTAAAAAAACACACGTATAGAAGGATGTAAATTTTCAATATTTTTTGAACCGCAAAACGTTCTCACTTTCCACCGCGTTATACGGCGCGACGTTATTTATTTTTATTTTTTTTCGGTTATTAATTTGGCAATTTTTCAACAAAAAAAATCAATCGAAATGTAAACAATAATTGAACAATTATTGACAACAATAACAAAAAATTGTACGCATATATTGTGAGTATTAGCAACAACGATGTACGGGGTTTCAGATTCATCGCAAATTTTCGTGCCATCAAGTGTTTTGCAATTTTCTCTCCGCATATACGGTCGCCTGTCGTTGAACTGTTGTGTAACGCGCGTTCGAAACATGAACACGGTCGGTTTGAACATACGTGTTTGGTCCTGTAAAAGCACGAATACGGTTACACGCGCACACGCGCATACCAAGACAATATTTTTCATCCGATTGGATTATGTCATAAAACACACGGTGGCGTTCGATTTGGGAAACCGGTCCCGATGAAATCGCAAGTACGTTGTGTTGAACCTTGACCCGCGGTACGACGACCTTGCACCGCGGTCCGGAACCAGCGAAAGCGCATCGGATATCCTCCCAGATGTTCCGGCGATCGTGCGAATCGGCCAGAAGAAACGTTAAAGAAATTGTTTGAAAAAAAAAAAATTTAAAAAAAAAGTACACAACTACGCCCGTGCTTGCCAGGAGAAAGTATTGGACGTATTGTTGAGATTATGATCACACGGTTAACGCGCGGTATCATATGTGATCGGTAATAAGGTAAAAACGATACCCTTAAGCGAATCACGCGAGCCGCGTGTCTGTGCGCATCTGCGCGAAATCACTACTGTCCCGACCGTCGATAAGTAGAACTGGGTCGTTTTGTTTTTCAGTTTTTCAGTTAAACGACGACCAAAACATGAACCTTTTACCAAAAACAAGTCGCGAATTGGGTGGATTTCAAAAATTATAAATCATGTAATAAATTATGTTTTTTACGCTAATATCACAATCGATTTATTATTAAGATACAAATAGTGATTGTTGCCTAGGCAGTAATAAAATACTTTAAATTTTTAATCATCAGTTTATGACTGAAACCCCATCGCAACATCATGTGGTCAATAAATTAATATAAAATAATAATAATTTCAAATTAATTATCGTACTTATTAGGTAACACTTACATACACACCTATACGTAACGTGCATGTATCAATGAAAATCGCACACTTTTTCTCATTATGAAATATTTATTTCTCTTTTGATTTAATTATGTGAACTGTTGTAGAAAATAAAAAAAAATTTACAAAAAGTAAGTGTTGTATAACACGCAAACGCTTCGACTATCCGTATTTCTTCTTCGTTCAATTCGGTTCCACGGTTTGGTTGTTTATTTATTTTTCATCATTATACATACAATATGCACAAATTATAGTAGTTTCTACCTGTTATACCAGGGAATCCAAAATGAGAGGAAACTCAATGCACATATAAATTGTGTACTTCGAAATGTGGTGGTCAAAAATATACGCAATGCTTTCGTAAAAATTCAAGCAATATCAATTATATGCCTCGTGATCATTATTTTTAACTCGAGTGTTTAACTCAAGTCTGAATTCGTATAGTTTTCTGGACTACATACCGTCGGAATTTCTTTGCACATTAGTGATTCGTTATAGAAAATAATATAAAAGTATACAGATTGTATATTTCAGATTGTGTTGTGATTAGAGCACCGAAATGTTTGCCCTGAAAATATATCATGTGTCATGTATCACTTCCAGTCAACCGCAAAAAATGACCTTAATTCACGTCTACTACTGTAGTAGTATAGCGATCCGATATTATACAACGGACGTCGTTGAAAACACAATTATAAACTTCTCTGACGGTTGCCTGCGTACATGTTTTTAAACAGTCTACCTAATTGTATTCCTAACCTTAATAAGTCCCGATCGGTAAACCATTACGTTTCAATTAGACTAAATCTAAAAGTAATAATATATCAAAATAACATTGCTAGGACAAGGACTTTTATGCATTAAAAAATCATCAAGTATGCATTTAAAAATATGCACTTTTGCATCAAAAAATTTAAAATATGCATCAAACAATTACTAAAAAAAATTAAAACACTATAATTTATGGCTCTAAAAATTATATTTTTTCTATATTAAATGTTTTAATATAATAGTTTTATACTGTATATCTATAAAAGTACTAATTAAATTTATATTTATATTTGATTTGAAATTAATATTGGATCTCATTCTTCCCTATTATTTTGTATCTAATAAAACAAAAAAGGTAAATTATTCTCAAATATTTACCTTATTTAAATTAGAATTGCACTGATTCATTAACATTTCTTTGATATTTTCAAATAATTGAGAACGTCTATTATGTATCAACAGATTCTTGTATTGCGAAAAATTTCATTCGACGTCCACTGACGTGATCAGTGCATAATTGAAATAAACCAAATTTCAATAGAATTCAAGTGTCCTAATTCATTCGGTTCGTTGTTTCCCTCAGTGCCACTTAAAATATTTGAAATTTTACGAAGTATACTAAAACTTTTGTTTTTTTCTATTACTTTTTTAAGTTTTCCGCTACTGATTTTATAGTCTTTGGTTGTGTATTAATTATGTTAATTTCGTCTATAACTTTGTTTACAATGTTTATTGAATCGACTAGTTTTAATCCACGTTTTTTCAAGCTGGGTAATCGATTTAGATACAGTACCAAACTTTGCTTTAATACAAACCAAATTTGCGTTTAATTGTTGGTCGTCCAACATATTTTTTACTTTAAATATAGAATCTAAATCGTCATTCAACTCTATAAAAACATTTCGAATAGTTTGTATATGTTCACAATAATAGTCTATTGCATCTAACCATGTCCTCCGACGAATAATTATAGGTTCAGATGGTAGCATTACTTCAGGAGCTTTGTTTTAAAAAATTTTACTTAATATTGTACTTTTAAAAAAGTTTTTTAATATTTGAAATGAGTTTGTCTACTTTTGGAAACATGTTACGAACCTCATCTACTAAAAGAAGACCATGAACCAAACACGTATAGTAATCCATTTTGGAATGAAAAACTTTTATTACAGATGCCAATTTAATCATATATGATGCTGTGTCACTAACAAAAAGTAATACATCGTCATGCTAAGTACCGTTGGGCCATAATAAAGCCATTGATCTATTAAATAACTTTGCTACTATCGAATTATTAATTTTTTCCAACACCTCGTATGTCAATAACATAATTTTTCCAGGACAATCAATTTTTAGTACACCAATTATTACATTAACTACATACCTACCTTCCATTGCTATCAGTTGTCTCATTAATTGATAACTACATTTTTTTTCTCCTGGACCCTTATTTTATCCATTATCTCGTTATAAAGATCGTTTACATTATATTTTCGAAGTGTCCACTCACCAAGCACATCTCTTTGCATATATTTTTCTAAAAAATTCTAAAAATTTTTTTCTAAAAAAATAAGTGTTTTTAAGTTTATAATGTGGTACATATATTTGCAGATAGAAAAGTTTTACATAAATCTGAATTGAATTCCAATAGTTTTGGGTTACAATTTGCAACCAGTTGTTGCAAATTATTTGTTTTTTTATTTTCTATATGTGTTATCTTCTGATGTGTCAGGTTTTGTATGATACTAAAATGTTTTTCACTTGTTACATTCACGTTACAGATTTTACAAACTAAAATAAAATTATCTGTTGAAAATACAGATTCACCAAACTCGATCACAAAATTATGCAAACGATAAGATTTTGTCGATATTTCTTTTGGCATATTAGTTAATACAAAAATTAAATGCACAATAAAACGTAGTACACACGCGGCAAATGTTCTAGAATTAAATAATTATTTTACTACGTACAATTTGTAATACTAAATAAACATAATAAATAATTTGATTTCACTTTATTGCCATCTAATCTAACTATTAACAATTAAAATATACTTAGTCTCTATCGTTTTTATGAGAAATTTCACAGTTAAATATATTAATTTTTAACCTTGATTCACGAAAAATATTCACCGAAGTACATTATTTTCGAAAAACCTTCAACATATGCACTAAAAACTTAAAATATTCGCTTATAATAAAACATATGTTCTTTAAACCCAAAAATGTCAAAAAATTTAAAAATATGCACTAAAAACTTTGAGCTTTTGATCACAAACGTTGTGAAATGTATTTTGTGCTTACTCTGCATACAATAAAGTTAACCAGCAAGAATATGCAAATGCATGAAAGTCCTTGTCCTAAACATTACATTCACAAGTGACATAACATACATGCAGTCATAACATGTACCGTTGATCGATAGTAAATTACCATAGCAAATATAGTATATCGTATACTTGTGTTCAAAACTTACTTTCGGAATTCGTATACGAGCATATTGTTGCTAATATAACGGCAACGAGCAGCAATTTAAAGTGGAAGCAGAGCTTGTATTTTCTGTTTGTCTGAAAAACAAAAAAACAACAATCGATTAGCAGCGAATATTAATTATGTTGTGTGTCAAAAAAATAGTTAAATAATCGTTACGAGTGACAGCGGACAGCACACGTACTCGCGTGGAAATGATAATAATTACGCCCAATGTTTGGAGATTGGCTACGGTGATTCGGATCCACGTATTCGTGGAGATCCGTTCGATTTCGTACACTTTCCTCGTATACAAATAGTATTATCTAAATATCGCCGGCTTTCACCGATTTTCTGACTTTTTGTCGTCTTGTATGACTAGTGAAAATCCAGAACATTGTTGTTCCGTTGTGTTTTACGTTAATCGTCGTGGTTGCCTAATGTCGATTGTATAATTTTACCGAAGTCAACGCACAAACAACAATACTAAGTAGTGTCTATATATTATATCATTGAACGACAACGACGACGTATTCTGTTTTCGGTTTATGATAATGTACAAGAAAACTAGAGTTTCTTGTCAACAAGTTCCTTTAACGGTGTTCGGTTATACAGCCTTAAAGTCGTAACGCAATAGCAAACTCAAGTATTATTAAATGTTATGTTATGGAAGTTTAATTTTACAAAAAAAAATTTTACATTTTATTTGAAATTATATTTTTAATTGCTTTGCGCGGCAGGTTACTACATAAAAGTGCTTACAGACTATAATTTTGCAACGTACAATCTTGTTCGTTATCTTCACGAGTCGTAATTAAATGTCGGGCTTTTTGATTTTAATGTTATTTTTTATTAAGCTAATTAATAAAAATTTTAATAAATTCGTGTTTCTAGGATTACATTAAAACCACGCGAATCCAACCAGCCTTCGCGTTATCTTACGCCTGGAAAGTAATGTTCATCGATTCCGGTGTGCAATGAAGTCGTACAGTGGATAAGATAAAGAAAAAGAGAAAGATATATATATATATACGTATAAAGAGAAATAGAAAGAAACCACTCATGTAAAAAATCGTAAAAGAATACACGCAGTCCTTTCATTTTTTAATTTTTCGTACATTATTTAATTAACACGAACTGGAACAAAGTCGAAAGCCAAAACAATAACGTTCAAAACAGAGATCAGCAATTATTGTACATCCATGCATAGATAATATTATAATAAACTTGATCCCAGTGTTTAAAACAGTCTGAAAAATCTCATCCTGCGCAAGCTACACGCATGTGTGTTTTCGGACTGCTCAGCTTTCTCCGACAACCGACTCGCACACGCACATACGCGCAACAGTCCATTCGCATCGTTTTTCCCTACAATTGCACAACGCGTGATCTGAATACAGATTAATTAGACAACGCTTAACAGAAGACACAGTTCTCATGATATCTAATTGTTGAGTGGACGGTCAACCTAAAAAGTACACACATGTGAAACGCGTACGCATTGTTTTTTCGACAACAACCTTGGCCGACCGTAAGCACGATTTTAGGTCGAGTGGACCTTTTGCTACGCACCACCATAACTACAATGTTATATCGTAACCACCAAGTATGGTCACTATAATCGCTAACGACCGACTTCCTCGTTTTTAGTACGAAGTATATGGTACAAGTAAATTTTATTTTTTTTTTTTTTGTCAACTAATAATTTTCATTTTCATACAGTATTATTGATATAATTACTGTTATTCAAGATCGACTATATGTCATTACGTTTGATTATTTTTTCATGAACATATCGTCACGGACATATTTTTCGTTTCATAATTGCTGCCGGCCCTAGCGAACACTATCCTTTTAGATTCCGAGTGAAGCGAGCAACGTATTTTAAGTCCCCAATAAACGCTAAAATGTTTTTGTCGTACCGATTGTACTGCAATGTGTTCACTCTCGGCGTTGATCACGGATGCTCGACAACGGTAACACGGTAACTTGGTAATAGAATGTTAATGCTTAACATTGTAGAGCAAGGGACATCTTATGTCACTGGTGAAGAAACGGTTTCCTAGTTGGTACTCACGTGCACGTACAAATATTGACTATGATACGTTTCATTTGTACATGCTTTATTTGTGGCTTTCGTTAGCCGCAACAGGGCGTAGCCCCCTGGTTCACCTTGGACACGCTCTACATGAACCTCGACACATTATTTCGTGGTCCCCGTCATTTTTATTTATTTTTTTTTTTCAGAACGCACATATTACTGCCGCGTTTATGTATGAACGTTTGGATCCAGTAATCGCTCGCGTACATGGAAATTATTTTAAATACTTAAAAATAATCGTTTTGTTACGTAACCCTCCGCGGCCGTGCGTCCGCGCAGTTTTCCCGAAATTCTTATGAGAAGGAAAATATTTCGGACAAAAACTCTTGGCGAAATTGTTTAGTTCTTTCTTCGAAAACTGCGTGAAATCGAATTTTCAGTAATTGAAAATTTCGTTATTTATGAATGAATGAAAAAAAAAAAAAGAGAAATACAAAATTATCGTTCTCCTTTATACATTCTTATAACTTCACACACACACACAAAAAAAAAATATATATATAACATTATAAAAAGAACGAGCCGGTGTAGTGTGTATAGTGTATATACTCTTCAAGGGAAACCTACCAAATGGTGACCCACTATTCCGTAACCTCATTGTTGTTTTTATAACAATTGTCTTTTTCGTGTATATATTAACTATCACGTATAAAATATTTCAACCGTATGTACATCACACGACGATAGAATCATACCGTTCGCCAACATTTATGAAACAAAAGTGATGAGAGGTTAAGAAAACATGCTAGGTACGTAAATAGCGTTTCATGATGTGTTTTAATTAAAACGTCTGACCAAGAACACCGCATCTCATGATCTATACATATTTTTGAAATTTGATTTTACTTACAAGTACCATTAGCTGCTCCGACCAACGATTCTAATCAGAAATCAAATGCGGTAAACCGTCCAGTGTGTTTTCCGGTGTTTATAATTATATCTCAGCCATATATATACACGTCATAATAATACGGATAATGCGTCCGAGACTTTCTGAATTTTTCTTTAGTCGTAACGTAGTTTAACCTCGAATATTTGAAACGACCTTTGCGATCTTAGTTCATATGCTCCGGACAGAGCTATGGGACGTAATCGTTAAGGAAACAAACCGTACTGCGTTTATCTACAACGCATGCATAAAAGAGACTTAAACGAGATCTAAAACATCCAACTGCTAAACGCACTGACTTTGCGTGATACAGGTTTATGTCTCTCTATCCATCGCAAATACGATAAATGTTTGTGGTCAAACACCGCTGTCACCCTCATAACATCACCCAGTTGCACAAGGTGTGGTTGCGTTGAACTCGGATAACCCATACACACATACATCGGTCAAAACGAATATTGCGCAGATATTATCAATGGCACACGCATAAAGTCATGCCCATTTGTGTAGTTCGCCGCACAGCCTCCGGGTGGTACCGGGTGGTAATGGGCGTTGTCGCTGGACCATATTATATTCTATATTTTTATGGTATGTGTGTGTGTGTGTATTTGCTCGTATAACGTTTTCCTTTGCCTCTCTCGTACAAGCGGTCGTATAACGAAAGCCAAAAACCATGACTTGATCGTTTACAAAAACTGATCTCGTCCGACCAACCGTAATAATTGATATTCCGTTCAGTACCGACGTGTTGCGTTATTATGATCACAGTTTTTACATTGTGTGAATAATAATAATAATAATAATGTGGTCAATGCTCTTGCGAAGTGAAAAACTGAAACGCGCAAGAGGGGACCGTATTATTATATGGTACCTACAGTAACACGGTATAGTAATAATAACAATAATGATAATAATAATAATAAAAATATAATAGTGATGGAGAGAAAAAAAATGGGCAATTTATTATACACACCGCCATCGCACGTGTATAGCTTTTCCGCCGGTCACCATGGTGCTCGTACGTATTATAATTTTATCACGATGACGATCTGCTGCGATTAGTCGAGCATCGTAATTTTTCAGTCCGTCAAAAAACGCTTAAAACACGTCTCCGGACGTGAACTTGTACACTAAACGAATGACGAGCTTCGTAATCGTAGCAGTGCATCGGCCCGACACGGCTTACCCCGATCGTGTTGTTAGGTACACAACCGATGGTGTTTCGCAAAAATATTTCGCATAATATAACCAGTGGTATTTACCTAAACGGTGGTACGATCGGTATGTACTGGACTCGGTCTTCACCACCGCTGCAAAGTTGTATATATCTACCGCGATGTCCGTTATGTCGGCCGAGTGTATGAGTGAAAAGAAACGTAGAAGAAACGTACACAAGACTAAATCGTCGAGTAAAAGCGTATCGAAGGCACATTATTATTGTATACTCCTAAATGCGAGAATAGCGTGTTATATATACGTATAAGTGCCTACTACGCGTATACGAAAGATACCGACTGAATAGCATACGTATGCGTACATAGAATCTCTTTGAAGTGCCCTCAGGTTTCTATAAACAATTTTATTGTTCCAAGCACCAGTCATTGTTTTGCGACTAGAACGGATTGACCTTTCAATCCGTTTAAAGTACATCGTGAATATAATTTAATACATGATAACTCCGAAGGTTAAACAATCCACAGCGGTATAATCCGGCAAATTATAGAATACGTTTAATTGAGTCATGACGAAAAGAAAAATAAATGAAATATAAAGGAATTCTACGAACAATATATATTAATTATTATAATCGATGCTGTTTAACACGCGTGTTTTTAGCTTAAGTCATGCGTGCGTTTTTTATTGACAGTCGTTTATTTTCATATCGAGTACCAATTTTACTCGTTGATAAACTGGACCGAGTGATAAACAACAATACGTTTCGATATCCAGTAATTACGATTACTGTTGGCCTTGAAACATTTATATTTTGCAAGCAAATTTTTTCATAAAAAACCAAGTTTTTTAATTCATGGTCCAAATTCCGAAATCTTTTACGGCCGACGGCATTTGTTCCGTTACGTAAATCCCTTTTTCGTTCGGTAAACATT